GTGGCCCTCCTCTGGACCCTCTCCATCAGGTCCATGTCTTTCCTATATTGAGGGCTCCAGATATGTACGCAATACTCCAGGTGAGGTCTCACCAGAGCAGAGCAAAGTGGCAGAATCCCCTCTCTGGACCTGCTGGCAACGCAGCTTTGGATGCAGCCCAGGATGGGATTGGCCTTCTGGGCTGCAAGTGCCCACTGCCTGCTCATGTCCAGCTTCTCCTCCACCAGCACCCCCAAGTCCCTTTCCTCAGGGCTGCTTTCCAATCCCTCACCCCCCAGTCTGTACTGATGGTGAGGATTGTTCCGGCCCAGGTGCCAAGTGTCTTCTCCTGTGAAAACAGGCATTTTTCTGGAATGGGACTGTAGAAATATCCTGACCTGCACTTGATTTCACTTTTCTAAAGGAATAAAATGCTAAAGGGCTTGTGAAGATAGTACTCTGCGAGTGAAAAAAAGAGATTTCAGTGCAGCTAATTGAGGTGCTAATCGCTCTCTTCGTTAAATTTGGTGTTACATCCATAGAACCAGGGCAGGGAACCCAGCTGGGCTCATTCTCTCCCTCTCTCCTTCCACTGGAGACGTGGGGGGGTGTAGCCCACTCGTCCTCCCCCCACTCTGTTGAATATCTCTGTCCCGTGGACCACGCTTAAAAAATGGAGCTTTTTTTTTTTCTTACAGAACTGATTATTTGGTTTGTAGAATTTTTGGCTGCATCATTTTGAAAAATTCTTACTCTCACTGGTCATTTTGTGGTGGATAATGTTCTGGAGCATCAGGCAAGCAGAGCTGGAGGAAAACCTTTCACAGTTGCTGGTTTAACAGTTGAGATCTTAAAACCCCCTACATTCAATATTCTCCCTCTCTCTCTTTTTACTGCAGGTTGGATTTTTCCCCAGTGAGTGTGTTGAACTAATTAACGACAAAGTTCCTCAGTCCGTGACCAATTCTGTGCCAAAACCAGGTAAGGGAGTGACGTTTTACGACACGGGGAAATAAAATGGTGGTGTCTTTTTGCTGTTCCATGTTTAATATCACCTTTATACATTATTCTCTGTGTATCCATCACCCTCCGTACGTACCGTGTTACCTGTGTCTCTGTTGATTGTCCACACGTCATCTGAGCAGCTGCCACTGTTAAATGTCTTCTCACTTGTGGTGTTTCCTGAACTCCTTTCAACCTCCATCTCCTGCCTGATTTGGAAGATTTTAAGAATTTAAAATTCCTTTGGCAATCTGCAATGAGTGATCCCACGCGACGTCCCTGTTCTTGGTGTCCAGATGGAGTTGCACATTAGGGTTTTTTTTTCATACAGAACATGATACAGGTGACCCCAAAAGTCTTTATGCTGATTTAGGTGGAATGGATTAATTAGATAATGGAGAGAATTAGATTATTCTCTCTGTTTGGGGATTGATGGAGAAAGTCAGATACAACAGAACTTGGAATCCTAATTGCTTCTGCTCTGGGTGTGTTGACTCCATCTCCTTCCTGCTGCCTTCTGGATGGTTTTGTGTTGTATGAAATACGGGCAGATTAATACCAAGCTTTGCTGATAAAAGGCAAAATAAATAGAAAATGAGACCTTGGATGTGATTCTGCCCTCACCCAGTGCACACTGGAAGTGATTGCAGTTGTGCTGGTGTAACAGATCTCTGCAGAATTTCCTGGTGGTGAAGTTTTTGGTTGATTCTTCTAATTTTTAAAAGCTTATCTAGATATTCATATATAGAAATATATGTCTGTATTATCTTTTGTTTCGAGAGAAGGCAGTTTGAAATGGCTGATCTTTGTTAAAGCCTTACACAGCTGGCAAGTTGAGTTGGAAAACTGGGGAAATGGCGTTCTTTTCATCTATTTTCTTTATTTAATGCTGTTCCTTATCTCATAAGATTTTGACTTGATACTTTGAAACAAATAGATGTGATTAATCCACGAGCTTCAAAGTGCTGGGGTTTCAGGGAATTAGTTTTCTTGGCCATTGGAATTTCCAGCCTTTTTTTATTCCTGGGAAGACGTGAATGTGTTTGCTAGAACCGGTGTCCCAGGGATCACTGCAGCAGGTGATGGTTCCATAAATCCCATATCTGCCTTTTGTTGGTGGAAGCTGATCCCCAAATACTCCAAATATTACTCACTTCTCCCTGCCCCTGTCGACGGGGGCAGCTTTAAACCTAAATACGGGCCAGGCTGATAGATACACTCATAAGTGTTTATTATTAAATATGGTTCAGGCAATTAAATGGCCTGAGCTGCGAGTGAATAGTTTCTTGCTCTGCTTTAATGAGAGATAATGAAGCAGCCTAGATTAATAGATTCTATTTGGCTTTAACAACACTCTAGGGGGTGGATTTCCTCTTTCAGTCCCGGGAAATGTTTGTTATAAAGTTGATACCAAAAGCCCAAACCCCATTAAAAGTAATAAGTTGAAAGATATTGCCAAGTCGTGAGGTTGTCCCTGTTGACCTTCCCTGATAGTTGTTCTTTGCCTACAATTAGAGGCAAAAGGCTGCTCTAGAGGAACACTAATGAGCTTTCAGAGGTGAGGATGGCTGGAGCCAGGGCTGCAGCTGCCCCAGTGGTCCCTCCCTGCCCTTCCCTCACACACACAATTTGTCAGAGCATTTCTTCCAGCATTATACTTTCTATTTTGTTTTCCAGCTTGGAAGGAAACGGTTCTGGTTTAAACTGGAAAAGGGGAGACTGGGATGAGCCGGGTGGCTCCATTCTCCCTTGACTCTTGGTCAGGGAGGGGAGCCATAGGAGGAGGGGGAAGGGTTGGACACTGAAAGAGGGGAGATGGAGATGAGATGTGGGGAAGAACTTCTTTGGTGTGAGGGTGGGGAGAGCCTGGAATAGAAGCTGTGGCTGCCCCATCCCTGGAGGGGTTGAAGGGCAGGTTGGAGGGGGCTTGGAGCAACCTGGTGTGGTGGGAGGTGTCCCTGCCCAGGGCAGGGGGTGGGACTCAATGGTCTTCAAGGTCCCTTCCAACCCAAACCATTCAATGATTCTATGATTTTCTGGGGGCAATAGCTTTCTGCTGGGGGTTGGGATCCCCTCTGGCTGGGTGGGAGGTGTGAGCCATCCCTCCTCTGCTCACTCCTCCTGCTGTCCTTGTCTCACTCCTACATCTCCATGATGACCTTCAAGGTCCCTTCCAACCCAGACCATTCTGTGACTCTATGATTCTATGGTTGAGGACACCAAACACATGTTGCCCCCGTTTCTCCACGACCCACCACTGCTCCATTCTCCCTTGACTCTTGGCCAGGGAGGGGAGCCCTAGGAGGAGGGGGAAGGGTTTGACACTGGAAGAGGGGAGATGGAGCTGAGATGTGGGGAAGAACTTCTTTGCTGGGAGGGTGGGGAGAGCCTTGTGGGTAGAGGTTGTGGGTGCCCCATCCCTGGAGGGGTTCAAGGGCAGGTTGGAGGGGGCTTGGAGCAACCTGGGCTGGTGGGAGGGGTGGGACATGAAGGTGGATGGTCATTAAGGTCCCTTCCAACCCAAACCATTCAATGGTGCGGTGAAGGCTGAAGCCTGGAAGACTCTTCCTCGGTTGTTACGGGAGTCGTGCCGTGGTGGGAGGTGGCAGGAGCTGGGGAGGAGGTTCCCAGAGTTGAGGTGTGTTGAAGGTGGTGCTGGAGAGCTTGAGGAGCCTCTGTGCCTGGAGGAGGATGAAGGGGTGAGAAGATGAAGGGGGAGGAAGGCGTTTGAGGTCCCTGGGCTGGCTGGGGTGTCAGTGCAGCCCAGGAGGGTGACAGGGAGCAGTGGGGACTCCCTGGGGCACCCGGGTGGCTCAGACCTGGGAAACCAGAGCTTTCCCAGTGGTTCCTCCAGGGCATCACTGGGAATTGTGGTGCTGGGATAACGCAGGAGAGCTGGCATTTTCCTCACCCGTATTCAGCCTGGAGAAGAGGAGGCTGAGGGGAGACCTTCTTGCTCTCTCCAACTCCCTGAAAGGAGGCTGTAGAGAGGTGGGGGTTGGTCTCTTTTCTCAAGTCACAGGCGACAGGACGAGAGGAAATGGCCTCAAGTTGCCCCAGGGGAGGTTCAGGCTGGATATTAGGAACAATTTTTTCACTGAAAGGGTTCTCAGCCCTTGGAATGGGCTGCCCAGGGAGGTGGTGGAGGCCCCATCCCTGGAGGTGTTCAAAAGAGGGGTTGATGTAGTGCTGGGAGGTCTGGTTTAGTGATGATGCTCCTTGTTTGTTGTGTGGGTGTCTATTTTTGTCAGTCAGGTTGACGGTTGGACAAGATGATCTTTGAGGTCCCTTCCAACCTAGAAGATTCTGTGATTCTGTGATTCCCTCTGTGTAATGAGTTCTAAAGCTTAAACATATCAGGCATTTCTCATGCACGTAAATATCCACATCAATTGATTTTCTCCCCTTCCCTCTGTTAGAAACATCCCATTGGCTTTTCCTAATGAAATATAGACTTTTCTAAAAGGAACTGCTCGGAGCTTTTCTCCTCACTTGACATTAACAGGGTGTTTCATCTCGAATTAATGAGGAGGTTTAGATTTGGGCTTGATAAGACATACTCATCAACATGCAAACTTTATTTTCTTTAATCAAAATACGATGTGGAGAGCACATCTAGGACATTTTGTATCTGCGGCGTAAAGCTCTCTGCCACGAAGGAGTTTACAAACACAGAGCTCCTTGTGTTGTTTAATTGTCCCTAGATTTGGCTGAGGGATCTAATGAAAAGCAGATGGGAAGCAGAGAACTTCCTGCCCTGCCTTTTAATTATTATTTATAATTAAGAGGGTTTGATTTGCAGAAGTGAGGGGTACAGCATGTTAATAGAACCAGAAAATGTGGCAACGCTCTCTAATGCAGGACAAATAATGACTGAGGTTGAAATGAAAATGGTTTTAAGTGCAAACTCTGCTTTTAGAAACAATATTTCTTTTGAGTGGGGAAGCTGATGCTCACACCGGGGATAACGCAGCCGGTGCCCGAGGGAAAGAAAATGGGACCATACAGGAAAACCGTCTGTTTTATTCAATTCTGAACATTCAAAGTAATAAGAAAGAATATTGGGTTTGCCTCGAGTCACCTCTGAAGTGTGTTTGATGCTGAAGTGGGGATTGTTAAAGCTGTCACCTCCCGAGGTACCGCTGGGGTCGGGGCGCTGGATGTGGATGTACCTGTGTGTGTCACCAGAAAATTACAGTCAGTGTCGTTGTTGCTTAACAAAATCAATTAGTGTTTCCCTTTTCCAAACTTTGTACAGGTGAGAAAGTCATACAAGGGGTCTCCAGAGTTGCCCACCGAGGGGTATTTTCCCTTATACTAAGCCCAGGCCTCTTTTTTTTTCATGCTCAGCACTGTAAGAAAATGCTTTGCTTTTTTTTTTCAGGTGGGACACAATCTGATGTTCTCACTGCTTCTATTTATCTAAAAAACCCTGTGTAGATGCAGGAGGGTAGTGTGGGCTCCCCAAGCCCCAGGTTGCTTCAGCACTTGCCTTTTTTTCTAAATTCTTCCTCTATTCTTCCTCAGATACAATACTGCAACGATAACTTCTTAGCCCAAATTATTATATTGAATTAATATCTAACATTAAATAGCTGATACCATTCACTGAGGGTTTAGCTGAAGTTCAATACCACGGTAGAAGGAATCAGGTTGTACTTGGAAGGGTTTTTTAAGAAGATCCAGGATGAAGGTTGCATTTGAATTTCAGATATTTGGTGGGAAGGGAATCTTTTAAATATTCATTGTGGGTAAAAAAAAAGTGAATAAGTGTTTTTGTTTTTGCCTTCCAAGTGAACATTTGGGGATTGCCTGGAGATTGTGGCCGTGTCTACTCTTCTTGTCCATCTCTGGTTGGTCTTTTCTGGGAGCTCTGTGTGTGTGTGTGTGTGTGTGTTCACATTGTCAACAACAGCACGTCTCAGTTACCTGTTCCAGTCCCTTCTTTCTCATAATTCTGGATATTTGTGCTTTAACAA